GAAAAGCAACACGCAGGCGGCAGGTGCTGTGTGCGAACTCGCAGCTGTGCGACGTCTGCGACAGACCCAAAAAAGAAAGTAGTTTTTTCTTTTGTTGAAGTAGTTTTTTTCCCCCTCGATTTGCAAATGTGATCCCTGCGCAGGAAGTAGTTTTTTTCACCCTCGATTTGCAAATGTGATCCCTGCGCAGGACCCATGCTAAAGCAAAACGCCCGAAAAAAAAAAAAAAAAAAAAAAAAAAAAAAAAAAAAAAAAAAAAAAAAAAAAAAAAAAAAAAAAAAAAAAAAAAAAAAAGCACTGCTTGAGGATCCAGTCTCATTTTCGAACATCTGGAGAGCTGCGGCGCAAAAGACAAAAAATATGGCAATGTATTTCTCCGTGTTCCAGCAGTGGATTCAGTCTCATTTGCACATTTGGAGAGTAGTGCAGCGAGGCCCTCAGGCCAAAACGAAAACAACGGGCGGGACAAAAGCAAACCCGCAAAAAGACAGAAAAAAGAAAGAAAAGGAAAGAAATGAACAAAAGGAAACTGGCAAAATGACAAAAAAAAAAAGAAACGAAACAAACGAACAAAAGGGAACCTGTGTATCTCCCAATGTTCCAGAGGAGAATTCAGTCTCATATGAATGACTCAACCGGTGTATCTCCCCACGTCGCGGCACTGCACGACCGCGCCCGTCCCCGCTACCGGCCTCCCCAACAGTCGCGTCGTCCTGTGTCTCCTGCAGCACCGCGTGCGGACCTCCCTGCCCGAATTTCGCTGGGCCCGGCGGGAGCGTCACGCGCGGACCGCCTTTTGCTTTAAGGTATAAAAAGAGAAAACCTTGCAACGATTACTGTCCTTATTATGAAAACCCTTCACAGTCGGCACTCCATACACAGACTTCCGTACAGTCACCCATCACTCTAAAAATACAAATCCAAATTCCACCGAACTGGACTGATGTCGCTTCCAAAATTGTGTCAAACGAACGATCAACATCTCTCATACGCAAGGATGGCAACAACAACCTTGCACAAGGTCATTATTCATCTGGCTCCTCAGGTCTGTATTTCGACAGCTCATGGATTTACCAGCTGAGCCAGGCCGGTCGACACATTCTTGGAACTCTTTTTTTTCTCCCAAAGGGTGACACCCTTGAGATATCATCTTTGAAGCTTGAACTTACTGACCGCTGGTAGATTCAGAGTTATTCTCAATTTCACACTCGTCTAACTCGATTGGAATTTGAACTCAGGTCTGTGTTTCAACAGTTAGTGTTTTTCTTTTGTAATTTGGACCGTTTTCTTATCTCTGTGTGTCATCCTTGTGCAGGGGCCATGCTAATCTTCTCTGTATCGTTCCAATTTTAACAGATGTCCCCTTTTTTTCTTTCTTAAATCCCCCTCCTCCCTTTTTTATCTAGCTGCATATCTTTCTGAGAGTTCTGGGCAACTAACTCAGAGTCTGACCTTCCATTTGCATGGACCTTGGAATAGCTCAACCGTCTTCACCCAAATAGAACGCCCAGTCAGTATGGCTGCATCTGGACTGAAAGTTGCTCCAAATACGGCTATAATGACCGGGCATTCTATTCTGGTGAAGACGGTAGTGGGACCTGGCCACTTCTTTGGATAAAGGTTACTTGGGGTTTGGGATGATATTAATATCCTACAATGTTCTAAGGTTTACCAGCCGCGGGCTCTTTTCTTTTGATCAACTGGCATCTTTGGCCATGCGATGTAGAACTCTATTTACATCGCAAGGCCAGCATTGGGCCGCGTCGTTGTTCTCATGGCCTGAGAGTCTGCCACATTAGCAAGTTCTAGGTTGGGCGATTTTGGAGCGTGTGATGTGAATGTGGTTTGGTTGGGCGATTTCGGAGCGTGTGATGTGAATGTGGTTTGATAGGCATCCGATGTGGCTTTTCGTTGTGGAATGTTCGATGTAAAGATTTGCCGCGTGATTTGCGGTTGTCCGTGCGATGTGCTTGCCTGTTTTGTCTTCTTCTTTCTTTCTTCTTTTCTTTTCGCTTCTGTTTTCTTCTTCTTTTTTTTTTTTTTTTTTCAAGGACGTGGGTTCGAATCGAGGCGGTCATATGGCGAACAGGTAAACGAAAGCTGCAAAAGAAGTGAAAGAACAGAAGCGTGGTCAAGTGCAAAAGAAACTGTACGAATGCAATCATTAATTCCACCGGCACGGAAACTTGGGAAGAGTAAGGAACTGTTACAAACGTTCTTTCGTTTCTGTTTTTTACTGTTTCGTCTTTGGTTTCTTTCGTTTTTTTTTTTTGTTTTTTTTTAATGAAGGACGGGGGCTCGAATCCAGGCGGACAGAAGCTGCGAAATCCGCTTTCGTACAAAGGCTGCGAAAGTAAAAGAAAAGAGAAGGGAAAAAAAAAAGGCACATGGAAATGACCATAATGGAAGCCAGAGTAACGTTGTACAACCTGCTGGAAACGGACATCAGAGCCCAATGGCTGCGAGCCAAGAAGCAAGCGGAGAAGCAGGGAGAGTTGAATCCAGGGAAGGCTAAGGTGTTATGACCCGGACCAATTGCGAAGTACAAATTCACCAATAAAGCGCAATGCTGCCCAATTGCAAAAGAAATGAATGAACTTGAGAGGATTGAGAGGATAAGAAGAAGAAGAAGTAGTAGTAAGAAGGAAGAAGATGAAGTACACCAGCAAAGAACCAATGTCAAAGCACTTCTCCTTCGCTCAACTTCTCAACTCCATATGTCCCCCTCTCTTATATTCAAACAAGAATTATTGCAACAATGCTGACCAGCTGATC